ATCGTTTTCGTTTTGTTTCTGCGTTTCCTCCAGCTCGTAGATCCTCTCTTGCATGGTTTGTTTTTGTCCGGTGGCCTCGGCTAGGTCCTGCTGCAGCTGCTGTAGCTGACGGTCAGACTCAAACGCCGGCTGAAACGAAAACAACGTGGTTCAATCTTATTTCATGCTAATCCTCGCTTAGCGTGATTTAATAAATCGCTCCCCGCTAGTCTTTTTAATGCATATTGCACATGTCATTTAGTAAACGAGCTTCTATCACACATTTCTGTTTCGATAATGTTTTTTTTTCCTTTCTTCCCTTACCTGACTCCGTGTGCTGGAGAAGAAACTGTTACAGCGACAGCGGCAGGTGTCAGCGGAGCGGCGGCGGGGAGGCGCGACCCGACTCCGCTGAAACATGACATCGTATCACACAGTGAACACTGAACAACATTATTGGAAAGTCGCTTAAAGTTTGTCAGCAACAGTCAGCAATGCTGCATGTGTCTGAACTTCGGTCTGTTTTGTGCCAGCTCCCTTGCGCTGTTTTGTAATCACAATCACATACATTACATGGACTGTATAATTGCCACGCCACGCATTGTCCATGATGGTAATGCATACATACAAACGTAGGTTGTATAATAGTTCCGCTTATCTACTTTGACATGTTACGAGTGGTTGAAATCCCAACCTTCGGCAAAACCAATAATTCTTTTTTTTTTTGCATCACATCTAGACTCGTGCGTATAAAACACGTGCTCCGTGTGCGATCGTTGCGTCTATCTATTCAAACATCGAGCTGGGAACAGCACACCTGGCGCTGGGTGTGCCCATGAACGCTGGCTGTGCCACGCTATCTCACCAAGGCCAATACCGCGCCCACTGCCCGCACTGTGCCGCTCTAGCACCGTGAGATTCGCAGGGCATCTCATACCTGAAGGGCCTAGTTAGTGGCGTAAGGAACAGCTGACTTGCTCATTCTAATGCAGACATCTCCTGAAAACTACTGTGGAAGACCGCAGAAAATGAGGATATATTTCTCCTACGTTATTCTCGGGCAAAACTTACGCTCGATTAGGTCTGACCTGTTATACCCGGCCTGACCCCTGAACGGCAGGTATCTGACGTGAAAGTGATGCCAGGCTACCTGCACAAGTCACAGCCGCTACCTTGGCCGGTCGGGAGCGCGGCAGGTATCTGACCTGAGAGTACATAGTGCACCTGCGTCAGTCGCCATCACTACCTTGGCCGGTCGGGAGCGCGGCTTGGCCAGCTCTCCGGGTGACGATGTTCTGAACGGCTCCCGGCCGTAATCGGACGTGCCGTCGGCGGCGTAACACTCGAGTCGCTCCAGCTCCGACTGCATCTGGTCCAGGCGCTCCTCCATGCTCCGCTGCCGTACACACACCACGACTGGTGTCAGATACGGGGACGGCAGACTTTGGGCTTGTGTCACGGTGTGTCAGTGGGCAACGGACGATTTAATGCATTCCTACAAACTTTCCTCAGTCATGATCACTTTGACTGTCCTGATGCTTCAAGGTATGGCTAGCTCGTTTGAGCAGTAGTTGAGCTAGCATGGCTGAAAAAGTTGCTAAGTTGGTTGACATCCCGCAAACCTGTCCACCTCCAACTACTCTTAACCCACTCTTGTTCAGCGGCTCACAAGACACGTTGACAGGAATACATTTTACAGAAACATCATTTAAACGAGCAAAGCAAAGCGCACAGAGGCCTCTTGCACCAAAATCCTCTTGCACCAATGCTTGGATTATTTTGCATCGTACACCCAATCCAAGACTCAAATGTGACAATTTGCGTGTCAAATTTACCAAGCACCTGTAGGGTTATGTATTGGGCTATTGCAAACAAATTTACCACCGTTAGATTAGCTTATTCTTAAACCGATTTTTCGATTTTACCTAGCTAGGTAGTTTGGTGCAAGAGGCCTCAGCTCACCTTCTCCCTAAGCATGGTGTCAACGGACATTTCTTCATCACGAGGGTCTGCCCTTGTCACGTTTGATGCAGCATCTTGGAGGTCCTTTTCAATTCTGGCCAGCTTTTGGTGCAGTCGAGCGAAGTCATTTGGACTCTTTTTGCCTTTATAGCGACAACTCATGCTGTGCTGCCTTTTTGAGCAAAGATTAATCACAGGGCGTGTTTAGACAGTCATGACGATGCATGTAGTGTTTAGGAAATGAAATGGTCACATTTATTTGAAAATATGTCGAAGATTTCCGATGAATGTTCGATAAGACTGTACGCTTGAGGAAAACAAAGAATTTAATGTTTAAGGGACTTTCAGGTGTAATGCCGAAAAATAAAGTCACATTGATTCGAAATAATCCATTTTCTCCTGATTTATTTTTGCTTCAGTTCTCAATAACACGTGCTTTCTGCTGCAAGAAACCTGCTACAAATCGAAATTACTTACAACTACCTGCAGAAGTGCGGGTCTCTACGATACTCAAATGAGGTTTGTTTTCGGTATGACTATAGCGTGGGAATTGAATGCACTGGGACTCGAGCAAGCTTCGTTACTATACTTGCTTCATGTCGGATGATAAGATGAACAGTTCGTTGCGCGTAAGCCAAAGTGTCGATTCTTACAGACAGACAGGCCTTTTGCGATTCGCTGACCGGGCTTGCCTGCATCTGCTCTTTTCAGAATGTCTAGTCACATTACCTTATCCAGCTTCAACACAGAAGAGAAGCAATGGGTAATCATTTGGAGGCACGCCGCTTAAAACGTTGCATTTATCTCCAATAAATCTTGTATTCATAGATGAGAAATGCTCACAGTAGGCATAAGTTGTCATTCCATGAAGCGAAAAAGCTCTCAAAATATGCTAAAAGACTGCAGTCGTGGAAATCGTACCGGCTGACAGGCTTGGATAATTTTATTTTTGCATGACACCATGTGGATACTGAAAAATATGACCAACATACATCTTCAAAAAGTGTTTGTGATTCTCAGCGCCTTGGAGGAAACTAAACATGAAACACGCCCACACCGGTGGTTTTGCAGGAAGGTTAAATGCTTTTAGGTACTGCTACACTGTTGTTTATCGTAAGTATGTCCACTTATTTTGAATGCATTAGTTTCTACGAGAACTGTACAAGAAATGAACCCAGCTAACCCTCTTATGTGTGCTTTTATCGCCTCATTTATTGCTGTGGTATTTGTACTAATTATTGTGACAAATATAGCTTGCATCATCTGTGTATCCTGTGTGCTCATTTATACGGATAAAATAAGGCACAGTGAGCTCACAGTTGTCTGGGAGGACAAGAGGTCTCTGGGTCCCTGGCCTGGTAACGGCTGTCTCCGCTCTCCCCAGCCCCCTGTGCTGCAGGACACTGACCCCGCGACCTTTCTCTGTTCTGTCAGTGCATGGCTGCCGACTGCTGGCAGCTGCCTCGCCGCATGGAACGAGCGCCGACACGATGGGCGGAAAGATAAACAAAGATAACGTGTTGCACCTTAGATCACCGTTTCTGCATGATGTGAAAACTTCCCCGAATGGCTGCAAGCCAGACTCATTTACTCAGCCGGTTCGTTCCGGTTTCATCTGGATTGCACGGTTGGCTCTACGTCGGGGTCCAGCTCTGCCGTGTGCTGTTGAATTAATTTTATTTTTTTTCGACTTGGACATTTTACACCCTATGTTGCAGCACGGAGGAATAGTAATTCACTTTCAAGAACCGTTAGCGTGGCAGACACTTTACGATATAAAATATGGCTGTCAATAGCTATATGTCAATAGTTATACACCTGCACAGTAAAGAAGCATATTTAGGAGCATGTACTTATATACCTCACAGATCATATTAGCCGTTTTCTTGACGGGCTATCCGGCGAGTGCACCTAATTTGACCAAATCTGCACCTAATCTCTTTAACAGCAAATGTCTTTATTCTATGAATTTATTTCAGTGTTTAAATCAGAGATGCGGAGCCGTGGAAATTTCAGACGGCTCCGGCTCCGGCTCCGGCTCCGGATAACAAAAATCGGCTTCGGCTCCGGCTCCGGCTCCGGTTGAAATGTCATGGCGACTCCGGCTCCGGCTCCGGTCCGAAAAAAATGGTGCGGCTCCGGCGGCTCCGGCTCCAGTACTCAGTACATACCCTATGCAATTAAACACGGTTGGAAGAAAAAAGACAATAGGATTGATACACGTTGCTTCTGTATTTGCATTACAAGGCTTTTTTGTTTTTAGGGCCTTGGCTACTTTCATATTATGAATACCACATGTTTTACTGCCTTGTACTGTCAAATCGAATTAGGTCAATAAATGTTTCCTCTTCAAAAAAGGAGCCGGAGCCGTCACCTTTTTTGACGGCTCCGGCTCCGGCTCCGGGCTATATTGTTTAACGTCTCCGGCTCCGGCTCCGGCTCCGGGCAAAATATGCCGGCTCCGGCGGCTCCGGCTCCAGTTCCGGCTCCGGCTCCGCACCCCTGCTTTAAATCGATGATACTCTCTGATAATATGACAAAGCAGGCATATAAGCAATTAGTGCAACCCTAGCTGAAAGCTACTTAGAGACACACTGAACCTAATTTAACCAAATCTGCACCTAAGCTGCACCAGATGTGCACCAAATGTGAACCAGATGGCCGTCGTGAAAACGGCTTTTATGACCACAGGCGCTTCTATTGTGTGTTATGGAATATGGATGATCAACAAACACCCGTTGCTATGTAGTAAAAACGTATCAATATGAAGGGCTAGTGATTTTATCATAACATACTCAATATAAGTATATGTTGCGTCCATCATATTGTCATTGTTATTAGCATTGGCATGGTAATTGCAACTCAGACAAAATCCCGTCCCCCCTATCTAACAAGGCTGTTTGTGTGCGGTGCATCACTGATGCTCCCAGCCTCTGCCTCTCCGCCGGGAGAGAGAGGCTGGCAGGTCGCCGGTCACGCGAGCGCCCGCTGCTCGCCGGCTCTGGGCGCAGGCGCCCCTGCATCGACCCGGCGGCGGCCGAGGGCGCCCGAGGGTGGCCGCGCTGGCGCCCTCCCAGCTGCCGGGCGAGACGGCGAGCTCCCATCAGCTGGTCCGTACCGGCTGACCTGCTGCCTCCCCCTGACCCCCCCGCCCTCAGCAGCGTCGGTGGCGTTGTCAACAAAGCAGCGCGGAGAGCGGGACCGGGACGTGTCGCGGCAGACGGCGACAGAGACGGGCGTGTCGCCACAGAGACGGTCAGAGTCGTCAGCCGAGTCACAGCCAGCACCGCGGACAAGGTGGGCGCCACAACCGTCCCAGTCACGGGGCTGGCAGGCTAAAGGTGGATAAGTTATCAGATTGGGTGTTTTCTGATATCTGGTATCGATTCTGATATCTCTGAGCTCTTAGATTGTTTTTAGATTATTGCTAAGTTTGTAAAAATGCGTCTCATCAGGTTATTTTGCGCCTTTTAATTGTAACATGCAAAATACCTGTCTTTCTGTTATCAATCTGTCTTCTTATCTTCTGTCTAGCATTTATCTTTCCATCTATAGAAATATTTATTTTTCCATTCTGATTCACCGTCCATCAGTTCTTCTCTCTGCCCCTGTGATAGTTTGTTCGCTTGTTTGTTAGCTTGCTTGTCGTTTGAATTTTTCGACCTGTCTGCTACTGCATTCACACGCGATATGCTTCAGAGGCGGATCCAGCTCAGTTTTTTTTTTGGGGGGGGGGGGGGCAAACCTGAACAATTTATCGATTCTTTCCATGCATCGTCCATAGGCGTAATGTTAAAATCATGCCTTTGGGGGGAGGGGGGGGGGCAAATGCCCATTTTGCCCCCCCTGGATCCGCCACTGATCTGCTTGAAACTTGAAAATTTACACAAGCATTGAAAATTTTATATCTACTTAACTTTGTGTCCAGCGATGGGACTCACTTTCTACGTGGTTGCGTATTAGTTATAGGTTGCGCATTAATTTGTAGGTATAGCTATCGCATTTCTTACGTGCTCTTGTTTTCATAGGATTTCCATTACTTTGTCGTGAAAACAATACATCGAAGGGATGCAGCTAGCCCCCATTCCGGTGTGAGATTCTGTGCGTGTTAGTCAGTGATGGCACGGAGAAGAGAATGCCGACTGGCCGCTGGCGCCTTGCCTAAGTGGAGTGCGCTCCGCAATGAGTGACAATCCACGGCCCATTCCGGAGCGGCCCGAATCGAGTTCTGGTGCGTTCGGATTTATTTAGTCAGTCTGACGATCTGGCGACATGCGTCTGTCAGTGGTTACAGTGACCGGTGACCTGGGGTCGAGGTCACGCTACCGGCGTGGGTCAGTCGGCGGGCGGCGGGCGGCGGGGTCGGTGGGGCTCGGGTCGCGGGTCGGTGGGGCTCGGGCCGCGGTGAGCTGTGTGGACTCCGCACTGTGCTCTTTGTGTTGTGTGTGCCAATCTGAATATCTGTGCCAGAAGACACCAGTACTGGATCAGGTTCCCTCCAACCGACAGACAGCCCTCTGAGCCCATCTGACGTCAGTGGTCGTGGGTGTTGGCTGGTCTTTGACCCCGATTGTGCCCGGAGCCGTGTCGGGTCACTGAGAGGATCGCCATTAGTCAGTGACATCCGGGTATAAATACCGACCGGGGTGATGCCGATGTCCCCAGTGTCATCTCGGCCACGTTAGGAGACACTGTGATATTTACCAAACAAAGCCTGTCGTATGTCCAGTCGATTGACTTCATGCTCCATACCGTTACTATAATCTAGCATTGTTTGTTGATATGATCTGTTGATATGGTCATGGTCAACAAACAACCGCTGTCCGATGACTTTGCCGAGACATCATAAGTGTCTGATGCTGGTTACCCAGAAAGCTCTGCCGTATTCCAACTATCACCAGTGGCAGTGACCAGAGAATAACTTCTGTTTGTCACCAGCCACTGCCTGCTGTCTGCTGTAGGCTCCTGACCGCTTTGATGATGTCTGCGGTGACCTCTGTTCCAGGACCATGTCGGAGGACGAGGTGGTGCGCACGCTGGGAGGTATCGGTCGCTGGCAGGTGCGGCAGTCGGTGCTGCTCTCGCTGTCGGGAGTGCTCTGCGCCTGGCAGATCCTGTCGGTCGTGTTCCTGGCGCCGGCCACCGAGCACTGGTGCGCGCCGCCCCCGGGGCACCACTGCGCCGACACCACCGGCACCAGTGGTGACACCCGCTGCAGCCCGCGCCAGTGGCGAGCCCTCGGAGTGCCGCACGAACTCAGGGTATGATGACTATTCAAAAAATGGTTGATGACCCTAAAAATAGCAAGTAAAAGGAAGGACATTGATGCGTGTATTAGCATTTTTCTTACTTCAATTTGAAGCTAATTCATCTGAACAAACTTTCAATGTGACTATTGACATTCCAGTGTAAAGCTGAATGTTAACGTTTTTTCTTCGCAGGACGGTGAGAGAGTCAAGTCCCAGTGTCTGGTGTTCTCCCAGCCCATAGACGCCATAGTTCCAGATACCAACGCCACGATGTCCTGCAGTACTTGGCAGTACGACACTACCGAGTACACCAGCACCCTCGTGATTGAGGTGAGCTCCCCGCACCTACCCACCGACCAGCCCCGGCTGCCCCTGCCTGCTGGCCGCACCCCGGACTTTGACTATTGATCGGCACTCGGAAAACGTCACCAGGTACATGGCTAAGCTCCTCCCCGACTCACATGGCGTGTTATGGCAGCACCCGGTCAATATACAGAACGCCGACGAGTCATTGAATGCATGACCTGGATCTCAGGTGAATGGGTTCGCAGTGCTGGCGACGTGGCATTTGATGAACACGGAAATAGATATTGTAACAATATATATGTGCCTTCATTTGCAATCAAAGTAGCGTTTACGTAGATAAGAGACAATTATCATTGATCACATGATTTGCCATAATTTGTTCTTGATATCACCGTCATAAGTAAGTCCCACACAGGGAACATTACGGATCACAATACAGAGGACAGAGGGATAGCGATTACGTTCAATATTTTGAACCATACCCATGACAACTGTGAGGCCAGATCTATAGTTGTGGATGAACTAGCATAAGGTTATCATATTTATCAAACTAGGGTGCAAGAGCCGTTGAGTATTTTACGTATAATTTTTAAAGAAAAAAATGTAGATTTTAATTGAAATTACCGCCGTTTCATCACAACGTTCCTTTGTTACGAGCGAGCGAGCGCAGCGAGCGAAGTGAGTCTTTTCAATATAACGGAAAAATCTCAGTATGAGCGGCCCGGCCCGGCCCGGCCCGGCCTGTAACGCTTTTGAGAGGCTTATATCTCAGCAACCGCTGGACCGATTGGCCTGCGGTCTTTTTTGTTGGGTAGCCCCATCCCTTCTACCCCGCAATTGACTACTTTTGATACATCTCGGTGACCGTCGTGGCACGTGCCACGTGAAAAGTCAAGGGTGTTCAAGCTGTTTTGCAAAAGTAGTGATTTTGAGAGGCTCATATCTCAGCAGCGGCTTGAGCGATTGTCTTGCGGTAATTTTTATAGGGTAGCTGCATCCCTTCTACCAAAGGTCGGACACTCTTGATCTATGTGAGCGACCCCCACTGCACGTGCAAAATACAACAATAAGAGGTGCCAAATTTGTTCCCATTTCAGTAACTCGGTAATTACTTGGGCGATTTTGCTGAAACTTGGCATACAGGTAGGCACCCACCAGGCAATGCATTCCCATGTGTTGCGGTTAGGGTGCTACTGCACGTGCGCACGTGCAGGGGGCGTTTCCAGATCTCGAGAACGGCTGGGCCGATTGCGCAATTTGGTACACGGTTGGGGACCAGTTAGTAGGGTGCCGTGCAAAAGTCATTTTGGACCCCGTTTGCACGTGCGCACGTGCAGAATGCCGCTTCCAGATCTCAGGAACGGCTGGGTCGATTGCGTTCAAAATTGGCACACCGCTAGCGACCGGTTAGAAGGGTGCTTTGCGCAAGCCCGTTGGAAGCACCCTCTCGCCCTTCCGCACGTGCAGGGCTCACTATCTCGCTCGCTCGTTCTTCGCCCAAAAGGCGTTTTACTGGTACATATATTATATAGTATATGTAGCAATTTTACTTTGCTCGACATCCAAAGCTGACCGTGTGACCGTTATAAATCTGTTTCAGTTTGACCTGGTCTGCGACCGTAAATGGCTTCAGATGATTGTAAAGGGCATCTACATGGTGGGCATCATGTTCGGCGTCATGACCTGGGGAATAATTGCCGACAGGTGAGACTTGTTGCGATGTGGCTAAGCACAATTACCTGATCGGGTTTCTCTGAACATCACTGCATAATAAAAAAGTGTGCAGAATAGTTAATGAAATCGGCTGCAATTTTGTGTTTGTGAAGACTGTACAATGTATGTACATACTTTTTTAATGTGCAACCTACCATCCTTTTGTCGAGGATGACAGCCTGTCGAGTGGTGACCTATCGTGCGATGACCTGTCTTTGGTGATCAATCGAGGGCTGACTACCTGTCAGATGGTGACCTGCCGATGTGTTCCCCCTCAGGTACGGCCGGCGGCCGGCCCTGCTGCTTTGCCTGGCTCTCAACTGCCTCAGTTCGCTGGTCACCATGGCCTCTACCACCGTCCAGATGTTCCTTCTGCTCAGATTCCTCACTGCCTTCTTCGGAATCGGCATGTACACCACCGGCTTCGTCATGTGTGAGTACAACACTACATGGCAACGGGCCTGCATTGCGCTCACATTTATACCTGGCTCTCAACTGATGTAGTCAAAACCTTGATATGTTGTTATATTTCAAACGCTTTTAACTTGCGACGAATCATTTGTTCCATGGCTTGTTATTTTCATCACTGTGCCATGAAGTCACGGTACGATTTTTGTGCGTACCTATCTTTATCATGCAAGTCTTAACACGACTATAGTTATTACAAGTGTAGTTACCCAATTTGCAGGTCAAGCATGCCACATCCATGACGTAAGGGTAGCCAAAAAGTGTAGTTAGATCGGCCTTATCATAGCCATACTGAATGTCCGAAGCCTTGCAATGACCTTGGGCCTAGTGAATATCTTGTCATTGACCTGGGGGTGTTAATTTCGACCTGACGGGATTGGCGAATGCCATTTGTACCCCTGCGGCTGTCTGACTAACCTACGGGAGTTCGCTATAGCCTTTGTGGCTGTGGGCGGACCTGATTCCGGCATCTCGGTGACCACATGTGCGCCCGTCAGACCGTCGCTGACCTGTGCTGTCGGCACCTGTCCCCCTCTCTGCTCTGTGACTGACGGGGTGACAGCCATGGAGCTGGTCGGTGAGCAGTGGCGCGCGCTGCTCGGCATCACCTACTGCCTGCCCGTGTCGTGCGGCTTCATCACCATGGGCGGCATGGCCTACCTGGTGCGCGACTGGCGCCTGCTGCAGCTGGCCCTCTCGCTGCCCGGACTGCTGTTTGTGTCCTTCTACTGGTGAGTGACCCGGGCCGGGACTGACCCAGGGGAAGCGCAGGGGTGCTGCTGTCCGCTGTGGGTCCCCAACCGGGGATCAAAACAGCGTACCTGTCTGTGAGTGTCTTGTGTCTCTTGTCGGGCGGGCTCTTACCGATAAGATTGGATGGTTTGAAGCGTGGTGAATGTCAATTATGTCAGCGGAAATATGTCAGGACTAGCTCGGCTTAGTAAAGTGCATTCAATAAGTCTTTACGATGCTGCAATTTTAAAATGTTTTATTTGTCTCATTGTAAGATGTAAATGTTGTCAGAAGAATACATAGATGTACGTGCTTTTTGTCATAAATCTGCAGCCGTCCTTTTCAAATGCTAGTTTGTGATAATGCTCTTTTTTGCACTAGGCATAGATGACACGAATTATGTAGGAATAGGCGGGTGTTTGATAGGCTCAGACGACACTTTAAGCTTGCGCAGCGAAATATGACATTTCTTCTAGATCCGTTTTTTGGTTCCGTTGTCATTCCATGGAACCGCATATGCGATCTGTAAAAAATGCAGTACAATTGCAAAAATATTTTTCCGTTATATTTTTCGGTTGATGCCGTAATCGAAAGGTAATTGCCAGTTTAACGGTTTAAAAACTTTAAATGTTACAAGCGACGTCACATATATTCCTAATGTCGACGCTATCGTACTGAATCCGGTCTATTTCAGTATAGGCACTATGCAATTGAAATTGCCTTTGGTGATCGATAGGAGCCTCGTGATGTTAATTTGGGAATAGATTTACCGTGTCATACCGTATGGCGAATGTTGCGAGCTATTGTTGCTGATAGATCGCTGGTATTTAATGATGTTCGAAGCGGGACAAATGTTGATTGGCGCTCTGTCGAGTGGGCGGTGTGGCTGGCCGTGTTGGTGTTGATGACCATTTCTGCTTCCTTAGGCTTGTCCCTGAGTCCCCGCGCTGGCTGCTGTCCAAAGGCAGGGTTTCTGAGGCTAGAGACATATTGGAACAAATATGTAAATTCAACAAAATGGAGCCTCTGGAGAAATTGCCTGAACTTGAGGTTTGCTATTAACGCAGATGCCGCTTTTACGTAATATTTTTCAAATAGCTCGTTCATACGGTCTTATTTTTGCAATAGTTGCGTCAAGAACTAACGTAACGTAATGCAGAGAACATTTCGGCGTATTTGGATTTATTTTTTTTTTTGCATGTGAACACAAGCATCTAGACGTCACCAGCAATGATGTGTCTGCGTCAAAAAAGTACTGGCGTTGTTCATTGTTTCGGATGATGCTTCCAGTGTTTCGCTATTTGGAGGATATATCTGCGTTCTTTTTCACTTACGATTTACATCCAATTCACCGTATTATGTAAGGAAATCTGTGACGTGTTATCCGTCCCCGTTATCCAATGTAGCTTAATCGTTATTGGTACCAATACCTCTCTTCTAATTTAATTGTACCCTCAAAAATAAATGAAGGAATAAATGAATAAAATAATTAATCAAAACAGGTGGAGTCGATAAAAAAGCATCAGTAGCATTAAGCATATGTGAACTTTTTGGAACAAAAATTGTACTTTTTAATTTTATCAAAATTGCTTTAAAAAAACATTGCAGTAATAATTGAAAATTTTCAAAGCACGCCTTCATTAGCGAGCCTTACTATTTTTTTTTCAATCTCACATCATCAAAAATGATGACAACGCCGGTACGTTAATATCTCCGTCTAACGCAAACCCCGCATTCACTTTATTTTCAGCTTCCGTCTGAGAAAAGTACTCCATCGACTGAGAACTTTCTGGATGTGTTCCGTGCGGGGAAGACGGCTGCTCTGTTCCTCTGCCTGTTTTTCTGCTGGCTCGTGAACAGCATGGTGTTCTACGGGATCGTGCTGAACGCGGGCGACTTCGGAGGCAACATGTACCTGAACGCCACTCTCGGAGGTAATCCTACATTCCGAAATGCATGGCAATGACCAATGGCTTGTCATTTTTTTATTTGTATAGCAAACATTCCAAAACATTGTTAGTGGTAGTCGCCGTGGTTGTGCTTTAATCGATATCACTTTTTAAACATTACGTTTTTATTTCCTGCCTCTCAGTGATGTGCACGACGCACGTGTCATACGTTTGTGTACTTATGCTCTCAGATTTTGACTGCTATCGAATGAATTTTAATGTCGAATGGTTTTCCATTTCCCATTACGACTACTATCTACTGTCGCTCGTTGCCAGGTGTGGTGGAGGTCCCTGCCCTGCTCAGCTGCGCCTACGCCATCTATCGCCTGGGCCGACGAGCGCCCATCAGTATCAACATGCTGGGCGCTGGCGTCGCCTGCCTCCTCACTCTGGCCTGCACCAAGGGTCAGAACGAAGCGCACGATCCTCCGATACCGTGTGATAAAACTATTCATTGAGACCTGCACAGTGCACACACATAAGTACATAGGTATTGTTTTTTCGATATTGCTGTTAATTACATGGGTACGTGTGTTGTGATATTCATTGATCCCTTCTCGTTGGGATTAGTTTTTGCTTTAAAAACCACAGGATAATTATTGTGACGGTAATAAATTTTGAAATGAGATCGAGGTCCTATCTTCAACGTTATATCTTACCTCCAGGGACACTCCTCAGCCCTCACTATCTCTCTGTGGCCTTAAGCGTGTTCTCCCGCCGTTTATCCGTACCCGAGGCGCATTCCCTCACTGTCCTAATACAAAGATACAAACCCCCAGACACGTTCTCCACTGTCTCTCTACAGCCCCGACGAATTCTCCACGGTCATTCTGTCCTATTTAGGCGTGTTTCTGTCTTTTTAGGCGCGTTTCCCCACGACTGGCCGATGGTGTGTCTGGCGATGATGGGCCGTTTCTGCATCACCGCCTCCTTCTCGACCATCTACATCTACACGGCCGAGTTGTTTCCGACCTCCGTGCGCAACACGTGCCTGGCGGCCTGCTCTGTGGGCTCGCGGGTCGGCGGCATCCTGGCGCCCCTGCTCGACCTACTGGTGAGACACACGAGGCGGACGGAATGGCTGATGCTGGAGCTCAGACCAATTGTACTTGCAGTTGTACTTACAGTTGTACTTGCAATTTTACTTGCAGTTGCACCTGCGTGTCGACATTTTTATGTATTATGGGCCACCGCGTGCGCAGAGAGAAGTGTAATTACCGAGCATGCCGCTAAAACGACGAAAAGCTAGCCGTGATGTTTCTTGAGAGATTTGTGATTCAGGCCAATGTGTTCATATTTTGACTGAGGGAGAATGTATGTTTGACAGTGATGGTCGTGCTCCCGTCTGACAGAAGGAGGCGATCCACCCGACGGTGCCGGTGGTGGTGTTCGGCCTCACCGCCATTCTGTCCGGCGCCAGTGTGCTGCTGCTACCAGAGACCGCCGGCAGGCCCCTGCCAGAGGTGCTGGCAGACGTCAGCAAGGGCAGGCGCCGCAAGCAGACCGGGTGGGTATCACAAATGTTACCAGGGACTTGTAACCTTTGGGATGCGCTACAGTCGAACTGGATAGGTATCCTTATTAGGGAGAGGAGTTGAAGTTGCAGCTAAAGTAAGTGGGAAAAATATTTGTGGAATGGACATCCATAAAAGGATACCTTCCTGATTTTGACATTGTACGTAAATAAATTCAAAAATGATAAAAAAGATAGCTCTTATAAAGCGCTTACTTCGTATATGCATGTAACTTGACTTTCGCAAAATTCCTCTTCCTAACAGGGATGAAATAGAAGAAAAGACAACGGATGAGCTGCTGCCAGCGCCTGTCGTGGTGTAAACAACACTCCGAGCCTCCAGTTCGGAGCGACGACTACTGACCTGACCAGCACGGATGCCAGAGTCTTTGTGTCGGCCATCGTCACACACTGGTCACGGTGTCTCATCGTCTGCGGTGATGTCAAAGTCTACCGCCTTCTCTCAACTGATCACACAAACTGACCGCCGTGGACGACAACGGAACGATTCAGTATTGAAACTGCTACGACGTTATACCACTTACCGATGTCCCTAGAGACGAGAGAAAACTCTAGGGATAGTCCCAGTCCACCAAGCCCTCATAATGTTGCTAATCAGAAGCAGTATTCGCTCATATAGAGGAGAGTGTCGGCTGAATACTCCTCCTACTCCAGCTGGGTAATTGTGCATTGATAGTTGGGCTTCTCTTCAAAGACCAATCAGGTGGATGTGTGCCTCGGTGGTGTAGAGTCCTGGATCAGCACGTGGGTGACCCGTCAGCAGATGTTTGTGTCCTCTAAGCCGTCCCCAGTGAAGTCTTCCATTTCCAATCCGGTGTGAAAAAGGTCTGTTCTCCAAACACGGTTAATGGTTATTGATTGAAATAAGGCAAAAGAGAGAAAATGAATAGGACATTCTCCGGAATGTTGGTTACTTATATAATATCACAAGGAAAAAATGCGAAACTGGACGTCGTCGCTATGGTGTGTTTTACCTGATTTTCCATGTCTCCTTTTTCCATTTTACACCTTTCTATGCTCAATTGTACTGAATCTTGTATGTAATCATGACTGTTCCTTCTCATCAATCCAAGTCGTTCATTGTGCAAAAATGTATAAGTTAGTCGCTCGTTGAAAATGAAAGCGGTTGAAATATGAGCTTCAGTTTTCTACAGTGGCTACACTATCACCACATGAGATGGTAAACAACCGTCCACCTAAACAATGCCTTCCCATATCTGTCGTTCTCATGTGTGAAATATCTTTATGCACATGTATTTCAACTTTCATTCTGATAGCGCAATAAAAAGGTTTTTCGTCGTGTGGTCACTAGTCATCCAGAATTAGCAGATGCCCTATATGCTGCGCTGATTGTCACTGAATGGACGGTCGTACCGAGTGCATGCGACTGTGGCTGCTCCGATCTATGCCACCAAACAGGCACGTCCCCTTTCACCCCACACAGACTCTCACAATAAATGATAGGTAGTGACCACATGCGCCATGCCCCGCGATTACCCGGGAAACGTTTCCTTCTCTACTTACTGCTTGTCACCTGAGAGCAGCGGAGGATGGAATCAGCCCATTCTGCCAGTACCTATTACCCCAACTTGACCCAAACACCCTTATCTGGTCAGGCAATAGTCGCTGATTTCTGTAAATGAATAGACTGTCATATCGCCTAGCGTTTCTTATCGTGTACACCATGTGCTCATTGACACATTTCTGGAAACTGTAAATATGCGCCTGTGTATGTTTGCAGTACCTAGTATGGCACTGCATTGTAGTGTGTTAACTTCGACCACTGTAGTGCGCTGTATTTGCTGAGTTACTACCTTAGCAGTGGTCATATGGCTTGTTGAGGACTTTTTCCTGACTCATGTTGTAAAGAAGGTACCGTGTAGGTATCTTCTTACGGCCTGTGTTGTATGTTATCTGATGTATTATTTCTACTTTTGCTGTAGCATCTGTATGTCATGTAGTGCTTTGTACTTCATAATAAACCAGCACACAAGTCGTGTGAACATTATGTTTACTGTATGCCTAGCCTATTCAAATACATTAGCCTGAGGGGTGTGGTAATAACTGGTGTAAGCAAAGTGACCACGGTCAAAAACGAATTACCAAGTCAACATTTTGGGATGGCCTCGTTCAAAAAAACGGCTAAGAGCTTCGGTCTAGACAATTATTTTATCGTTGGCATACAGTAAAATACATACCAAACTCGGCCGGTGATAAATTTTCAAGACCTCAGTCCTTTGTATATTGTTCATTTTGACAAATGTTTACTTTAATGAAAAACAATATCAAATTCTTATCTGTATTCAATGTAAACGCGTTTCGATTATTTCTTTATCAATACATTGATACAATACAGATAATGAACACACACGATTCAATGTGGGTGAACGCGAGCGATAAGATTGATATTTCAAACGTTATGACCTATTCACGTGGCAAAACTTTCTGTTCCCTCCATAAAATTCTACCCAAAATTGGTGCCAATGAGTAATCTCCTCTTTTTGAGTTGATGTTTGGCAAACATTCAATCACCGCAGCCTCGATCAGTTTTCGTCGATTTTTCCCTTTTCCGCTCCATAGAATTTTTGCGTCTTTCCACTTTGGTAAATGGTTTTGTTCCTCTATATGAATAACGAAAGAGCTTGTATCTTTGCGGTTTCGAACGTCTCTTTTATGTTCGTCTATTCTCTTCTTCATTCCTCGATATGTTTCGCCTATATAAGATTTGGAACACCCCCCGCACGGAACTCTGTACACGACGCTGTCCAAACTTTCGTCCGCCGTTCTTTTCTTGATTATATCTTTAGTCTTAAGACCGGTCCTTTCCAGAAGTATGACGCCTGCCTGTCTTAAGGCCTTAGATATGATGTCTGTATTTTTGCTGCCTGGTACTACTATCGCTCTATGGTGTTCTCTTTTTCTATTGTTCAGTGACCCAGATGACCTTCTTCGTATTTGTTTTGCTCTTCGTAGGCATTTGATTAAGAACGCCTTTGGATATTGAAGTTTTTTAAATGAATCGAATATGTGATCGATCTCGTCATCGATGTAATCGGGACTGCAAATCCGATACGCGCGTAAGAAAAAGCCAATCACCACCCCGGATTTCACCCTTTCACCGTGTGCCGACTGCCGAGAGATAGTGTATATAATCTTCTTGGTTTGAGCTCTTTCTGTAGACTTTGTATTTCAGGTTTTTCCCACTCTTGATCATGAGAATGTCCAGGAATGGCAGCATGCCATCATTCTCAACTTCAAGTGTGAATTGGATGTTTCTTTCAACTTCGTTCAGTTGCTGGAGCTTTAACGTGAGATCAGTATCTTCCGGCACCACTACAAAGACATCATCGACGTACCGGTACCAAATGGTCTCAGTTCCCATGACATGTTTGAAATGATCCTTCTCTAGCATTTCCAGGTAGAGGCAGGCCGCAACTGGACTGAGGGGCGATCCCATTGCTAGGCCGCTCACTTGCGCATACTCTTTGTCATCATAAGAGAAAGCCTGGAACCTGAGACAAAGCTCCACCAACTTTAAGAAGTCAGGCTTGGGAAGTGGAAAATCGTCTGTAGGAAGGTCTTTGATAGCAGTTTTGATGGCTTGGAGCGCGCCTTCTACCGGCACGTTCGTGAGCAATGCCTTCACATCAAAGCTGGCTAACGTCTTGTCGCTGATATCAAGGTTGCTCAAACGGTTCAATAGATCTCCTGAATTCTTCAAGTGGCTATCAGTAATGGAACCTAACAGCTTGGTTAGTGGTCTCGCCAGAACCTTAGCGAGGCGGTGGGGCGCACTACCAATACCCGAGGTAATCGGCCTCATTGGAACCCCTTCTTTGTGTATTTTGGGTAACCCCCGCATTTTTGGTGCCTTCGGGCTCTTTCGTTATTCATATATTTCGTTATACAAGCTCTTTCGTTATTCATATAGAGGAACAAAACCATTTACCAAAGTGGAAAGACGCAATAATTCTATGGAGCGGAAAAGGGAAAAATCGACGAAAACTGATCGAGGCTGCGGTGATTGAATGTTTGCCAAACATCAACTCAAAAAGAGGAGATTACTCATTGGCACCAATTTTGGGTAGAATTTTATGGAGGGAACAGAAAGTTTTGCCACGTGAATAGGTCATAACGTTTGAAATATCAATCTCATCGCTCGCGTTCACCCACATTGAATCGTGTGTGTTCATTATCTGTATTGTATCAATGTATTGATAAAGAAATAATCGAAACGCGTTTACATTGAATACAGATAAGAATTTGATATTGTTTTTCATTAAAGTAAACCTCAGTCCTTACTGATTTTTGAACTCGGCCTTCGGCCTCGTTCAAAAATTCAGTAAGGACCTCGGTCTTGAAAATTTATTTACACCGGCCTCGTTCAGTATTATATATTGCCGTCGACGGCGGTCATGTCTCCCGTTCATGCCATTTCTCAGACAGCATCGAGTGGTGAATGTAAACGAATGCCCAGCTCTGTAGCGCTGCAGGTAGACTGTGCCGCACGACCTCGGTGCTGAGCGGCACAGCATGCCTGGAAACGTGCCGCGCGATTGGCGTTGGTTCTTTCTATTCCCGTTGCATCACTGATCTTTTCCGTAGAGGAAGATCGATACTCATAGCTTACCATATATTCACACAAGCACAAATTAATTCATCGAGGGTGCATCCACCATGCTGGGAACCCATGTCTGATCAACCAGCTCGGTTGTAAACACCACACGGTGTAAGCCGAGCGGCGGCAGATGCCGGGACGGTCTGACCGCGTCACCGCCTACCCGATGAAGCGGACGTTGGTGTCGATCTCGGAGGCCGGCCTGCCGTCGCTGCACAGGCGGGCCAGCTGGTTAGCAGAGCCGCTGCGGGCCAGGTGCAGCGCGTGCAGAAACTTCACAATGTCGTTGGAGGAGGGACGACAGACCTGTGAAACAAACGAGATTGCGGTGTTTGGATAGGAAGGAAAAATATAGCTAACGTTTCTTGTTGAAATTTTTCTAGAAACTACATATATGTGGTAAGCTAATCATTCATTTCTGGGCGGGTGTGATTTTTACAATTACAATATGTATGAAACTTCTTTCCTTATGTTTTTCCTTAGCAAGTTTTACTTGTGATTGAGGAAACAAATTAGCTAGTCTGTACCGTTTGCTGCCGTGTAACTAATCTTTCCGTTCTACCATTCTCACCTGGTTCGAACTATACCTCCTCTCCCATTCCCCTCTCCTTTCTCACCTGGTACTGCTCACTGCGGAAGCGGGACGGCACAGCGGAGTAGTGCCGCTTCTGGACCGAGGACATCAGCTGCGAGGGGACCAGCACGTACGGCATGGTCACCGTGCCCTCCAGCAGGGCGTTCAGCTGGTCAGAGCTCAGTCCGCCGAGCGGAGACGGGTCCAGGCCGTCACCTGACGCAGACAGAGCTCACAGTCACTGAGGGAGCGGGCCGCGCAGGCTGCACGAACAGGATGTGTTTAATATGCTGCTTATTTGTGACGGCGGCATTGCCAAAATATTGCTCTGATCTTGTCTAGATCCGACGCTAAGACAGAGGCTGAGAAGAGAAACCAGCGTTACGTGCTGAAAACCACGCGAACTTAGAGTCCTAGGGTGTAAATTGAGAAAAACTAGCTGCTCCCTGGGAATACGTGATAGCATGTTGAATCCAACTCGAGGACTTTCGCTCCACGGGTCCTCTAAAACGTTACAGCAGTCTGGTGGGGAGGTTAGACTCACCCATATCGGACTGGAAGGTGGCGCTGCTGGCCTGCCACGCAGAAACGAGCGCTAGCAGCACGAGCACAGGGCGAGCCATTGCTGAGGGCGCTGCTTCACTGCTGAAATAAGATGCCAGGTATAGGTGTGAGGACATCTCGAACGATATGCTTCACTATGCAAATGGTAACAAATCGTTATGGCCATCGGCAGATCTGCAAAATAACCTGATCCTTTTTTTACCGTGTTTGAGAACGCAACAATATAAACTCTCACCATATACAGCCAGGGGAAACGATGCTCTTCCACGGTAGTTGTTAGAAAGGAACTCTTCCTTACCTGTGAACTGGTCGCCGATCAAGTGGTGCTGTTCTCTGGCGACGAGTCGCCTTTATACCTCTATACGATGGTGGCCACTACAGTTGGCTTCATTCGCGATCATTTATCGTCTGCTGCCGTCTTCGACAGACTCTGGCTCCTTCCGACCCACAGAGCTTGCCCCCCAAAGCGGTCTCTGTGCGGTCACCGTGGCTCGCCTGGTCGAGGCAGCCCGAACTAAGATCGTTTGTCAAATGCCGCCTGACGAAAGGATCAATAAAACTTTTTAAACTGATGATGTATGTAATGTTATAAATAACTATATTGTCGTGAATGTGATGTCCTAGAAACGCAATAAGTTAATATTTTACATAACATTTTGCATGCAAATAAAGTTACGCCGAACTCACCGAAGGCCTTTTACAGCTAGGCCATGTTCAGATACTCTGTGTTGATTCTATTTTTGTCGCAGGTCGTTAAAATGAGGGTGTGTGTGTGTTCGTCGGCAGTTAAAGCTTACTTTACTGTTGAGTCAATGTCAATATTTCATTATTTGCAAGTTTGCTCTTCTTCCGCAACGTGAAAATCATTAAAAATTGTTAAAACATGTCAAAAATATATTTGGATATACGGTCTTGGTTTCCAGAAATTTCTGCAGGCGCATTACAAATGAAAACATTCGAATTCAACCAAAAATGAAAAATACATATACCTATATATCGTCAGTAAAGGATAGAACGAAATGAACAAAACCGAAATGATCGCGAATGTTTGGTGTGACGTTGCGGCTTAAGTTTAAATGATGCCTATTATGAATGAAAAGTAAACGTGATCAATGAAAGGTTGCAATAAATCATATCACCTTCGCTATAAAAGTACGCGACAATCTCCTAATGTCAGACAAGAGCCACAGTCACCTTCGGTCACTACACATCCCAAGCACAACATCCCTGCAACAACATCTCACTGGTCTTCACAAAACACTTCTCATCACAGAAACATTCTAAAAAGCACGACACCTTGGACGCAACACATTCATTTTCAATGCTCCGGTAAATAGTCGTTTGCTCTTATGGTCCACATTCACTCCGCCTCGTCGGCCGGTTCTGCTGCCTCTGCCTCGTCTGCAGGGGCCTCTTCAGTCGCCTCCCCTCCACCCGCGGCGTCCTCCGCGGCGTCCTCCGCGGCCTCCTGTTGTTCCTCCTCCTGCGGTTCCTCGGCCGGCTCCGCCTCCGCCTCCGACTCCTCGCCGGTGACGGCGGCCGCCTCCTCGGCCGTGGTGTACCCCTCGGAGGGCGCCGCCTCCTCGCCCGTCTCCGCGCCGCCCTCCCCCGTGTCTCCGCCCTCGTCTCCCTCCGGTGCCGTCTCCGTCTCCTCCGCCTCTGACGTCTCCGCACCGGCGCCGTCTATGGCCTCGCTGTCCTCGGCAGGAGCGGCGTCACCTTCGGCAGGGGCTTCTCCTTCCGCCGGGGCCTCGCCCTCCGCCGGGGCCTCACTCTCAGCAGTAGCACCCTCCTCAGCGGGAGCCTCGCCCTCGGCAGTGGCGCCATCAGCTGCAGCTGCCTGATCAGCCTCAGCGCCGGCGTCGGCTCCATCGGTGCCAGAACCCTCTCCCTCCCCCTCCTCTCCCTCCTCCTCCTCCTCTTCCTCCGTGCCGCTGCCGTCCTCTACCGAGTCCCCGGACGCCTGTTCCGGCTCCTCCTCCGCCGAAGGCTGCTCCTCCTCCTCCGCAGCGGCCTTCTTTTTCTTCTGCGGCTTCGGAGGCTTCACCAAGATTATTTCGGCGAGATCATAGAGCCGAGGCACTGTCTGGAACAAGACAGTATCAGCGTATCAGGCCAATCTCTTGAATGATAGACTGTCACAGTAGAGGACATCAAGTCACATCAAGAAAGCTAGTCACTTGACAGGCTTCTATTGAGATAAATCCTATTTACTTTTAAAGCAGCGATAAGGTGCCGTATTAGACCACCTGCATTGTATCTCGTTGCCCTGCTCACCCCCTCCTGGAGCAGCAGCTGAACCAGTGGCTCCTTGTACCTGCCGAACTTGACGGCCAGCTGGGCCAGCTCCCTCTGGCGCTGCTCCTCGGCCAGCGAGTCGTCCTCCTCCGGCGATAGGTCCATCGTGGTGCCCAGGAAGCTGAACGGCAGCGCGGCGTCAGTGAAAACGGCTAGGTGGACGTGGTGAAGCAAGAACTACATGACCTACTGCTCAGTGCTTATACGATGGCAATATGAAGCAATCTAGAAATTGTGATAAAAAGAAATTGTTCTCGGCATATGTGCGTCGTAATGCGCTAACTTGTTTAATCTTAGTCGAGAAAGGCGCAATAACGCGTCTGAATCTGAAGATTTAGCCGCATGTAATTGTTCGGAAATGTAAGGTATGATCAATTCATCGTTTTACTAGAACACCGCTTATGTAATATGCAACCAGCCCTCTATCGCTTCATCCCTTATCCACTCGTTTACCAAAATAAAATACACACAATAATGGCTGATGTATATTTTAACATCAAACTCAATCAGTTCCCAAGCATTTCTAGCATGACAATTATCTCTTGGCTACATTACTCCCGTCACGACACGCTCATTAAATGCTATACCCCTCTGAGCGGTGAGCCCGGCCGGCCGGCCCGCGGCCCGTCCCGACGGTACCCGTCCGTCGCTCCTGCCGCCCGCCCCGCCGTCCGTCACCGGCCACCTGCCTGGAGTTGTGGTACTGCTCGTTGGTCGTGATGTCCCCCACGTCTGGGGACGTCTCGTCGTCACTGTCCAGCTCGGCACACGACACCGTCTTCCGCTTCTTGATGTGGTGCCGCTTGTTGAATTGTTTCTGTGGCAGAGCAGGGAAGGTCATCGAGATTATGGGGTAAAAAATGAATTATTTCTAACCTCTGGTCTGTTAGAGCTGTCGTGAGTGTCTAATTTTAAGTAGCATTTCCCAATAAGGAAATATTGCTTTACATATTTGTGCATATGCATCATCATTAAATACGTGATAACTTGTCACTGAGATGAAACAACTCATATTTACCCGCTGCACTTTCTCCATTTCCGCCTTGGTTTTCTGAAAGGAGACCACAAAGGCCGACTCCACCATGTCCGGGGGCTTCTCCATCTTCATATCCTCCACCAGGCTCTTCAGACGCTTGTTCTCTTGCATCTGGAAACAAGGGTAGTGAAGTAATTTTTCTATCATTTTTTCACAAGTTTTTGAATTATTTATTTTATAAAGTATACACATTTTAAAATCACCCTGGCGGGATAACGTTTATAATTTTACCAGGCAACGTAATTGAAGATATGCAATCAAATTTAGAGACTGCGTTGTCTGTCGTTACCTCACACTCCCTCCCTTCCCCCCTCTCTCTCTCTCTCTCTCCCTTTCTCTCTCCCTCTATCCCTCTATCTCCTCTCTCTCGCCTCTCCTCACCTGTCGTGTCTCGGTGCGTTTCTGCAGACTGTTCTCCTGGTCCTCGTAGATGCGTCTCATCAGGTTCCGCATGTACTGCCGGTCGTTGAGCCGCAGGATGTCCGTGCCCAGCAGCTGCTCCAGCCGGTTACGGACGCGCGTGTTGAATGTCACCCTGTGGAACACAAAAATGCATACTGAGGTCACATGGGTGTACAAATAAAGCAGGGGTGGCGTAAGAGGCGGTGAGACCACTGGGCCAGTGAGCTCAGGGCAGAGGGCCACTGGGCCAGTGCTGCCGATTTCATATTTAGGAATTTTCTTCTTGCCTCTACCAATCCATGAATTTGTTTGTTGGACCAGTTTGTTCCATATTTATACCTTCAGATATGTATTGTGTGATCATTGTTTATCACATATATAAAAATCAAAACGTCTGTACGTATGTATGTATGTATGTATGTATGTATGTAACGCGTCAGTCACGCTTGGCGGGCTATTGCTCCGGAACGGTGCGGGCTACGGGGGTGAAATTTTTGCGCCGAGTCGGACGCGTGCATCTGTTTGTTGTATTAAATTTTGGTGGGGGTGGGTTCGGTGGTTTGCACGTGGCGGGCGAATCTTTGCGGGATTTTGGGCCGCGGCCGGTTTCGAGCAGACGGCACGCGCCTTAGGCTCAGATTGTTCGCTGCGAAAATGAGGGAAAACAGAGTCGGAGGTCGTTGACCTTTGGCAATGAATACCGGAACAGAGCACCGCCGGCCAGGAGGAGACGCCAAATTTATTCTGGCCATAACTCGGCCGCTACTGGGCCGATTGCAATGAAACTTGATTTATTACGCTGCGCGTAATGCTCGGCACCTAGTTTACATATATAAAAACCAAAATGTCCGTATGTATGTATGTATGTATGTGACGCGTCAGTCACGCTTGGCGGGCTATTGCTCCGGAACGGTGCGGGCTACGGGGGTAAAATTTTGGACTTAAGTCGGACGCGTGCATCTGTTTGTCGTATTCAATTTTGGTGGGGGTGGGTTCGGTGGTTTGCACGTGGCGGGCGCATCTTTGCGGGATTTTTGGCCGCGGCCGGCGCCGAGCAGACGGCACGCGCCCTAGGCTCAGATTGTTCGCTGCAAAAATGAGGGAAAACAGAGTCGGAGGTCGTTGACCTTTGGCAATGAATACCGGAACAGAGCACCGCCGGCCAGGAGGAGACGCCAAATTTATTCTGGCAATAACTCGGCCGCTACTGGGCCGATTTTAATGAAAATTGATTTATTACGCTGCGCGTAATGCTGTCCCTCTAGTTCACTTATATAAAAATCAAAATGTCTGTACGTATGTATGTATGTATGTATGTATGTATGTAACGCGTCAGTCACGC